TCCTGTGGCTCAGAGAATAGACTTTAAAACAGCTCTGCTTGTGTACAAGTCTCTCCATGGCCTCGCACCAAAATATATTAGTGACATGTTAGTCCCATATGAACCAGCCCGGACTCTGAGGAGCACAGGGACTGGACTCCTGTTAGTGCCCAGAGTCAGAACTAAACATGGGGAGGCTGCTTTTCAGATTCATGCTGCTAAAATCTGGAACAGTCTTCCTGAAGATGTGAGACAGGCCTCCTCAATGACAATGTTTAAAACCAGGTTAAAGACAGTTCTGTTTAACTGTGCATACAACTGAGGTATTTTATATTTTTATCTTTCTTTTTAATGTTCTGTGATAATTTATGATTTTAATGCTTTCTTGTTTTGTTCAGCACTTTGAATTGCCTTGTAAGTAAGCTTTTTTTTTATTTATATACCGCCTTTTCACTGCACATCGGAGTCTCAAAGCGGTTTACAATTGTTGGGTGGGGGTGTAGGAGGCACATGCCATACCTATTGTACATATTTTTAGTGGTAGGGGAAACCGGAGCACCCGGAGGAAACCTACGCAGACACGGGGAGAACATGCAAACTCCACTCAGAAAGGCCCTGGTCCAACCGGGATTCGAACCCAGGACCTTCTTGCTGAGAGGCAAGAGTGCTATCCACTCAGCCACCGTGCCGCCCTTGTGTATGAATTGTGCTATATAAATAAACTTTCCTTGCCTTGCCTAAAGAGATCTTCTTAGATTCTTAGAAAAAGCTGAAAAATATAAACAATATACCACAGTACAATAAAGTTATTTCGAAAGTTATCAGACAGGAAAAGGGAAAGCGGAGTCCTCTGGGAAACACATCCAAGATTATTATTTTCTCAGGGGTGCAGTAAGAACAATCTTGCAAAAACAAGAGGTCAATAGATGCTGATTATCAAAGGAGACTGATTGTAAATGGTCAGTGAAAGGCCGCTGTATGAAATATAAAATAAGAATTGGTGGTCACACATTCAGGGTGGGAGTCTGATTGCCATAATTCACCTGATGTAATAGTAATCTCCACATGCAGAATGCTCTCTTGTGTCTAATAATGATTTAGAATCATGAGAGGTAAAAATCACGTCTGTCACATTTTGTCCCTCGGCTACTCTAGAAACACGGCAGAAATACTTCACTTTGGAATAATACAACTATAAAATTGGCAGTACTCCTAAGTAGTGGGAGTCCTGGCAGTAAAATGAGATTACAAATATAACAGATAAGACGTAGGACTAAATAATGATTTATTTTCCAGATCTCAGAATTCTGTATACTCTGGAAAATAGAGCAGACTTTTGGAAATCTTAAAAAGTAGCCAGTGCAGGGTAATTGTCCATGTGCCTAATGATGTACACATTTATTTTGATTTACATGAACAGGAGCGGTGGACCTCCATGTTTTATGAATTCATATTTAGTATTGTTTGATTAAAAAGAGACTGGAGACTTATTTGGAAGAGGGATATAAATGTCAACCTGGGAAACTTATTCATTATAATATTCTTCATAAATGTTATCTGTAATCTATAAGTGAAGAGCTGTCCAGTGATCAGAAGGAGACACCAGTCCCTGCCTCTGCTTTGCTTTGTTTGTAGGGAGACCGGTTTGATTTACCCAACCTTCCAAAAGCAGCATTTTCTCTGACATTGACTGGATATATTTGATTTGCTTTATCTGCTGAGTTTTTAGTTTAGTTTAGTTTAATTATTTAAGATGACAGGGACAGTGTACAAAAAACATTAACTTCAAAGGGAAAGATGCATTGTACCATTGTTTCCACCCGTTGTCCGTGGGCAGTGGACAGGCTGATGTTTTCCCAGACAGGATTATAAGGAATGCTTGTATCCATGACTGACAAGAATCACAGTTACAGACTTAGGGGACCTTCTTTTCTTTTCTAAAACAGTTATGTACAAATGTGGATTTATGTGTATTGCTGTAATGTTGTCTGTTTTGTAATTTATGTATAAAAATAACCGTAACCCATTGTCTGTGTTCCTGTGTCTTAACCCTTTAACATTCACTCCTTGAAGAAAGCAATGTATTTTTTTTTCTATAGGAGCACTAATAACACAATTTGTTTTTTGTTTTTATTATAGGTCTTTATCACATGGCTGAGAAGCACTTTCACCGTAAAAGTGCCTAAAACCAAGTGAGATGACCTAAAGAAGAATATTTCCGTTCTAACCAAGCTTAAAGGCACACCGCGGACTTTGTGACCTAAAGAGTTGACACATATGAGTTATTTTATATGAATACTTGGGCCAATATACAGCGCTTGACACTTGCAATGCTCCGAGCGGGGCTGCCCTCTTGAAATACCGCCATGTAAGTTTCGAGCAGACGGACCGTCTGCCACCAGGTCACGTGACTTGGAAGAAAGACTTGCTTTACGGCTACAGGCGCTGATATACTCATGGAGCTAAGGCTTTTGCTACTCATTTTTCACCTGCTCGACTCCTGGTCATGGCTGAGGCAAGGAAAAAATTTTAAACCTTTGGAGGAGGCTAAAAAGAGGAAACGCGAAAGGGATCGTGCTGTAAGCTGCATGTCTGTATGAGCGCTGCTGTTCACCTGGTTCCTGGATGTCATCGACTGCAAAGATGTCATTCCACGCAGCACGAGCTAGACGCAGAACTCCCTCATCCAGGATATAGAAGTCCATGTGTGGTAGATTACTAATGCAGCGGTCTGGAGGCTGACCACAGCAGAGTCTCTCAATATCTGTAGGCATGTCTCTACAGTTTGAACACACACACCAGTGCATGCTGTCTGAATACACACTCAAAAGACACCGGCTGACTGTTTGACTTTTGCGACAGTGCTGAGTTGCTTGTGGCCACTAGGGGCGCTAAACGTGAAAGTTGCAGGTCTAGCGCCCCTAGTGGCCAAGAGTTACACGGTGTGCCTTTAAAGGAGAGATATTGACTCAAAATGTGATCTACCAAATGTTTGAGGAAACTATTAAAGGGTTCAAATCAATTACAAAAGTGATTACAAAAAGCCCCTAGTGCCTTTTGAGAGCATGAACGATACACTATCATTATCTAAACTTAAAGTAATTCACTTTTACATTATGATTGTTTTCACCGACACCTTTATTGTGGAAGTCCAAACCAGCAGCAGCGAGGAGTGACACTGTAGTTTAGATATTAGTCGTAGTAGTAGTATTTGTTCAGTCACTTTTTTCACAACTCCGACAATACAGATAATTTGAACAAACAATCAAAAATAGAAATGACTGAAAGGGTTTAGGCTGAAGTGAAACTCTTGTAGAAGCCAAACCCTATTACTATGGCTTACTATAACCAGAAACAACAAAAACGGCAACAATCATTATTCAACATGGAGAAAACTATAGAAAACACATATTCAAATGTTTGCAGAAAAGACATGTAGGTAACTGAGGACTTACACAAATTATTTAGATGGATAAGTCAAGAACAATATAGATAAAACATTATAGATAGAACAATATAGATGGAACAGGTATACAGCCAACAGAGGACTCATAACAGAAGCGCTCCAGCGGGGATTTCCCGGTGGTCACTGCTGCATAAATGATTAATAATAATGATTTGTATGTGTTCAAATGGGTTTATATTCTCTTGATATAAAAAAATACAAATCATCGAGTCACATAAACATACATTTAAAATAAACACAAGATTACACCTCTACATACGTACACAAATACACACACACACACACACACAGACACTTACACATGCACACAAACACACAAACACACACACACACATACACACTTACACATGCACACACACACACCCACACGTACACAAACACACCCACACACACAAACACACACACACACCCACACACACACTTACACATGCACACACACACACCCACACGTACACAAACACACCCACACACACAAACACACCCACACACACACTTACACATGCACACACACACAGACACTTACACATGCACACACACACACACACACACACACACGCACATACACACTTACATGTACACATGCGCACACACACACACACACACACACTTACACATGCACACACGCACACACACACACATACACACACACACACACACACACACACACACACACACACACTTACACATGCACACACACAGACACTTACAGTACACATGCACACACACAGACACTTAAACAAACACACACACACACAGACACTTACACGTGCACACACACACACACACACAGACACTTACACGTGCACACACACACACACACACACACACATAAATATAAACAGGGGCATTGTTAAACTTGACTTAAAATCTAGAAAAATACTTAATAATACCACAAGCAGCCATTATTTACAAATTATCATTGTGTAACTGGTAATCATAATATGTTGGTTCTTCTGATAAAGATTGTTACAGCACAAGGAAGACAGTAGTTTTGCTGAATTTGGATGCAGCCGCTGCACTATAAATGTAGAGGAGAAATATGTACACACAGTAAATAAAAGAAAAACACTTTCTAATTCCTTAATGTTATTATAAGATACCCATAAATTATGACACTGTAGAGTACGCATTACAACAACAACTAAACTAAATAGAGTCTGTAGGTTTCATAGTGGGAAGTGTTTCCGCTGATGAACTTTTAAATCAGCCATGTTGGACGTAACTGCAGGAGAAGTCTCTGCCTGTGATCCTTTATTGCTGCTTTGAAAAATCTTATCTTCTCACCGTGAGGGAGATTTGTCACGAAACTGGTGACGTCGCCATGGGGGGGCCATTCTCAAGAACGTTCAAGAAGAGATGTTGATGACTCCTCCTTCAGAATAGCTACAAACTGTGATGCATTATAGTTTGCAGCCTATTAGAAAAAAGTTGGAAATTAGAACTGAAAACTAAGAGGAAAAACGTAAAGGATGTATATATCTTTTACTTTTATTAGCGAGTGAGTGGATCCCAATGAGGACCGCAGCGACCCTGGAGTGTGTTGTGTGCTGCTTAATTAACTCATCAATTCTTCTTCGTGTGGGCCTTGGGAGAAGAAAAGGTGGGCTTATCAAACTATCTATCTCACACAACAAGACCATACAGCCGTACTATAGGCAGCTATATGGAAGAGGAGCGCCACAATTTGTGTTACAGTTTTTTCCTGTTGCTTGAACACAGTTTGCAAAATTTCGCTCAAAGTCCCAAAACTCTACACACACGAGAACCTGACACAACACTGGGACATAAACCAGACACATCTGTGTCAAAATGAAACTCCTCTATCAAAACTCAAACTCTGCTCTCAAAACTCAAACTCTGCTCTCAAAATTAAACAATCATTCGTCAAAATGAAACTCTGAGGACAAAATGACAAACACTTGCATCACGTGAACACACTTTCAGATTGAAAGCAACACACTACAGTACTTTATATAAAACACTGCAGTCATTTTCACTGTTTTTATTCTGTTTATCAGCTCAATGGAACTGTTTTTGTTCTCTGTAACACTGAAAGGTTACACATAATATAAACTCAATACAGTACAGTACTACAGTATACTTTACAGTACAGTACTACAGTATACTTTATAGTGCAGTACTACAGTATACTTTACAGTACAGTACTACAGCATACTTTACAGTACAGTACCTTTTTGATGGTTATATTTATGTATTTATTTAAATGTTAGGAGAGCCTAGAGAAAAGGCGTCTGCTTTTTTTCTGTGGGAGGATGTCACAGCGGAGCTGTTTGAGTCAGATAACGTTCAGCGTTATATACATAGTTTCTCTTTCCATAACGATATTCTCTCATTATGGAAAGATCACCAACGTGATGCAAACGTTTACTTTATATGCAGTAGTTTTAAGGTTGATACTAACGATAGTACAACAGAAGCCCAGTTGTCGTAAATAAAAATAAAGGTTTGAGTACATGGTAGATACGGTAGTAGTACACAGTAACTGCTGAATGGGAGAAACTTCTCACACCTTTGATGGAGATTTCTTTGCCCTGGAAGTTGTTGAGATATCGCAGTAGAACCTCCTTCCAGTAACTCCTGTAGCTGATGAGGCCCAAGTCCGACAGGGGCCGCTCCGGGGACCCCACCTTTTCCTCGACTTTAGACAGGAGGTAACCTGAAGACACAGTCATGTATTTCATCAAACTCAATACACGCAAATTCAATGCTTTTTGGTAAAAACATGCACTCACTGAAGTCAATGAGCATCTTGCCGTAGCCTTGCCGCATGTACTGAGGCATGGTCAAGATACATGACACGTTGTAGTTCAGAAAAGAGTTCTTCTCCTGTGAATGGAATAGGTCATAATAATGTATCGTTATAGATGAAAACACAGCACACAAGTGAGTGCATGAATAATCTATATGCTGTGACCTGTCCTGCTCCACCCAGCGGCTACTCCACCTCTGCAGCTGTGACCTGTCCTGCTCCACCCAGCGGCTACTCCACCTCTGCAGCTGTGACCTGTCCTGCTCCACCCAGCGGCTACTCCACCTCTGCGACTTTACTACTGCTATTGTTAGCTACTTTTAGAATTATGTATTTATTTGTTTTGAATGTGTGGCTGGATGTGTTTCTGCTGCTACTGGACACCTGAATTTCTCCTACGGGGGAATTTTATTTTTTGCTTTTGAATGCGCTGGAAAGGGCAGCAAGTCCTAAGTAGCTCTGAAAGTTTTACAATTGTTATTTTTCTTGCTTTTTTTCTACCTGAGATGTTGCTGCAGTTCAGAGTTCATGGTTTTACACTGGTCCAGACCGGAGCAGAGAGGATTCATGGTCCAAAATCAGCGGATCAGGCCAAAATCCACTGGAGGAGGGCTAAAAAATGCTAACAAAGCATTTTGGACCAGAGTAGAGAAAATGGTCCGAAACCAAGCAGCAGCTCCACCTCTGCTGTTGTGACCCATCCTGCTCCACCCAGAGGCTCCACCATCTCTGCTGTGACCTGAAGTGCTGTTTTTATTATTACTACTACTACTATTGTTAGCTTTTAGATAGATCAATGTATTTGTTTTGTTTGTGTAAATGGATGGATGTGTTTTTGCTGCTACTAGACACCTGAATTTCTCCTCTGGGGATCAATAAAGTATCTATCTATCTATAAAGTGTCTATCTATTGATTACGAATGCAACGGTTTGAAGACAGTCACCAAACAAAATAACATGTACCTTGGAGAAATAGCCGATAAGATGGCAGCCTGTGTTGTCTGCTTCGGTCATAACATAAAAGAGAAATGGCTCAACGTCGTAATATAGAGTTTTGTGATCCAGGAAAAGCTTGGCCAGTAGACACAGGTTCTGGCAATAAATCTGAACAACAAAGTTTAATTCATACAGTGTCATATTAGGTCTCTGATAATACAAACAAATCTTACCTTGTTTTTTTTGCCATCCACCTCAAACACAGAGATATTGGTCTTTCTGTAGATCTCGTCACCTGGAGGATGCTTCCACACGCATTTGGCCTTTAGACAGAATGGAAAAATATATAAGCACTGAGAATGCACTTTTATACTGCTACAATATGAAAATCTGTGTTTCCAATGTAGCTCCACAAACATTTCATTTCTGTATTGTCTAGACAACTGTATTAATAAAAAAAATATTAAGAACCCGGACTGTTCAATAACATACTTCTCTTTAGTTCAAAAAGGTTACAACTTTTTTTTGATCTTGGCTCAAAAGATGTGTGCTCTTTAACTCAAACCCGACAGACGACACATTTGACGTCACATAACCGCTGATCGGAGCTGCGTACCATGTGTCTGCGCAGAATGGTCTGACTCTTCATATATTTGAGGCAGAACTCGCACATGTAGAGCCTCCCCAGACGAGCGTACTCTTCTGGGTAAGGGGAGTGATACCAGGTGTCCAGCTCGTATCGACCAAACACTATGGTCTTTATCATGTTGCCGCCCTCAGACACATGGCCTGCAAGTCGCAGCTTTTCCTGTGAGAAGACACACTAGAAGTGAGAGATTCGTTATAAAAGAGAACAGACCGAAGGGCACAGGGTGAAAAAGCTTGTTTTAGAGTCAAGTCTAAAATAAACAGCAAGTCATAATGATGACTATAATGTTTCTAAGAATTTTATTAATTCCAAAAGTTTATGGGCTTGTGCACAAAAGTGTGACAAAGGCCATTAGATTTTGATAATCAGAACATATATTATGTTTTTCATGTATCCAAATACCTCGTCTGTTTATTAGAAGTTGCTAGAACATATGTTTTTTACGTTAGACAAGTTTCCTATAGCGGCCCTTTTTACTTTATGTAACGGACATGATGCTTTAACGGAAGGAGCTTTACGGAAGTTTGTTACATATTTTCAGATGTCCACATTTGATTAAGAGAATCTTTTTTTTTACACAGAGTAGAAAAAAGTGATACTTTCATAATAGTAAACCACTTAAATATGAAACCAGACCATTTTTTTTCTAATGTTAATTTTTTATAGAAAAATTTACGGAAACCGTCACGTCCGTTACACGTTTTTCAAGGGTAATTTAAATTTGTAGTGATTTTCTTAAACCTACAAACGTGCTTAGCATCAAATAATATATAGATCTATTTAAAATAACTTCTGTAAATGCATTCACGTTTTTTGAAATGTTGATCAAAAAGTATTTTCTGGCACTAAACCCATAGGTTTGGACATGTACAGTAAGTACACTCAGTACAACAATGCTCACAGAAACATCTGAGCATTGGATCTATATAGTCTTCACATCCAGGCCATTGTTCTTTTGTATTAATAATTGACCCCTTGTTTACGTCTAATAAGACATTACAGGGGGTTGCCAGATAAGCTTGTGTGTCGTCTCTCACCAGGTCCTCTGAGGCTCGGGCTTGTGCCTTCCTGAACAGCTCCAGGTCATAGTCACTGGTGATGTTCTCCAAAAGAGGTTCTCTGCAGCTGGCGTGGCTCGGACGATGATCCTACGAATATATAAAAAACAACAAACTAACTAATGTACAACAAACAACAACAACAAAAACCTTTGTATTTGTACATTACAATGTGCTTGTCTTTGTGCTCCTTGTTTGGAGTAGTGCTCTTCTTTCGTCTGAGCTCTGTCACTTTTTCTTTGTAGCGTAACTGACGGTCCGAAGGCGCCTATGGGAATAATGCATAGTTACAACATGATGGTGAGTTATGCCTAGCGTACATCGGACTGGCAACTGATTATATCCGTCGCATATGAGTTACTGCCCCGCACACATCCACAATCTGGCGAAAACGGGCAACTCCTAGTAGCAGACCAGTCACGAGAATAACAGCGCGTACATCGACAGCAACTGGCCGTCACCTACAGTGTGTTTTCTGACATAAACTGTAGAGGGCGCGCAATACACGCAATACACACATGTTGTTGAAGCGCGCCATGGATGTATTAGGAGCGCGCACATCGGGTGTTATCTCCGGATCTGAGTACAACTAGTTGCCAAAAAGTAGAACACGGGCAACTGACTGAATCCGGAGATCGACTGTTTATCTCCAGTTGTAAGAGCGCTCACATCGACCGATTTAGGCAACTGATCATCTCCCACCATCTCCTCTCAGTTGCCAAAAGCCGCCATGCAACTAGTTGTCTCCAGTTACTCTGTCGATGTACGCTAGGCTTAAGTCCTTAAGACAGAAAACTCAGCCCATGCCCACACTAGTAAACCTATCATCAGACACAACAGACTGGATTTGCTTTGCTGCACGTCAACATCACTGTGAATAACCTTGTTTTATCACAACAGTGAAAGAGAGATTTCCCCTCGAAACACAAACATCTCTGTTTAGAAACTCAGTTCAGCCTCTGTGATTGAACAGACAGGTCACCGATGGCATATTTGACCCTCCAGGGAAATCAACATGGGTGATACCTGGCTTCTTGTGGAGTGCCTGTTCTCGTCCTGACGGTGTGATAGCGCCCTTTCCTCCGCCTGCTTGTCTCGCACTGTAGCTTTGCCCTGACAAAAACAACAACAAATTATGTCACTGAGAGCCCCACGGCAATAAAACAGAACAACACTCATTTATGTTTTCAAAGTGACCATTTCTATTTGATTCTTTTTGTTTTTATTGGATATTTAACGTAGAATAGTTTGGTAAAGACATTGCATCAAAACATTTGGATTTGCACAGCACTTTTGTCTAACATTGAATTGTTTTTTTTTAAAATTGTATTTCAGAGAGGTAATAATTGGTTTTAAGAGTACCTTGCTTTCATCAGAAGACAGATTGTGATAAAGAGGACATCCGGATATGGAGAAATGCCTCTCGTGTCTTCCAGTTAGATGACCTAAAAGAAAGAACCAGTTGATGATCCTTTTACACCACGCCAATAATTAAGGAAAACAAATATTAAGCATAATATAACTATTATATAATACTACTTTCTGATCATTAAGCGGTGGCTCATACCCAGTGAGTTACATCCTGGAGTCGGGCACTTCATGTTGAAGTTGTAACTTTCATGGAAGCGTCGTCTTTTGGGTCGATGGGACAGGTCGTGGGCCGCAGCCTCTTTGAGTGACAGCTCCTTGGCCAACCTCTCATCCTCAGTGATGTCATTCGCAGGACTGGAAACCTCATTGTCGGACTCAGATGAGTGGGTGTTACCAGTGGGGGTCCGAGGAGGACTCTCATCTCGGTCTGCCCCATGTTTTAACTCTGTATCAAAAGGAAAAAGCAAAGTGGTATTAAGATTGCTGAAAACACATGGAGCAATAGGAGGACAATCCTTTCCATGTGTTTTATAAATGAACAGTGATAAAACTAAACATTAATGTCATGTTTAGTTTTCTAGATCACGTTATACTCAGCGTTCAGGAGAATTTTGTTTAAGTGTCTATTGTTGAACATAGGGCAAAAAATAAATAAATAAATAAATATTATATATATATATATATATATATATATATATATATATATATATATATATATATATATATATATAGTGCAAAGTTATATACTGTACAAATAGGGCAAGGTAATAAGTAGATTAAGAGACATATTATTTGTATTTATTTTAATAATAATAATAATGCGTCGGTTTTATATAGTCATTGTTCATTCAATTCATACACGGTGGTGTGAAACTACTTCTGTAGCCACAGCTACCCTGGGGTGCACTTACAACCTGTATGTGCCAATTGCCACTTCAACCACCAGCAGTCATTCACACTCATACACACATATACACACACCAGACTCATCCTAGGCACTGAGGGTGAAGTTTCTTGCTTAAGGACACAACGACAGTTTGGCACTTTACTCCCGCCATGAATTTCTTTCATTATATTAGTATAAAAACTCTCACCGTTTGTCTCAGTGTCTGAGCCTGATGATCTGCTTTGGCGCAGTGGGTACTTCTTGGCTGTGGCATTTGCTGCCCCCAACTGGCTGCGTGTGATTCTGCGTCCAGATGTGAAAATGGATGCTGCAACTGATTCTCTCCGGCTTTCATTTGGTGCCACTGGAGAGCTGCTCCGGACTTTGCGGTCTAAAAATAAAGTCATTTGTATGTAATGTCAAAACAGTTTGAATAAAGAAATATTCTAATAAACTAGAACATTTGTATTTATTCACAGTGAAGGTGCATTATGCAAGTAAAATGCCATTGAGCTATTATTGCTTTTATAATGATGGTAAAAACTGTGTAACGTGAAGAAAAATCCCATTTCTCTCAAAACAAGGCAAAGGATGACAAATCAAATTGTGAAAGAGCTGATAAGGAAATGAGAAAATTGTACCTGAAGTTTGTGTATCTTGGGAGCTCCGACTGAGACGGAGAGATGCTCGAGTTAGACGTGTGCTGCTGCGTCTGCGCACCACCTCAGCTGGTTCCTCTGCTGAGAAGTCAGAGTCCTCCGTGCCGTCCGAGCTGCTGCCTGCTGTCCGCTGCAAACATTCAATAGATAGTAAGAGACAACAGAAGTTCAGCGAGGATAGTGTGGCAGTAGGTTTTACCAGTGGGTAGTTCCACATTGATCCCATAATGGAAATGGTTTGCTTGTTTAAAGAGTGTAGATACGAGGATATAATATATATTTAACATATTGCAAAAGCTCTATTGAACTGATGTAGTGATGACTACATCACTCCAGAAATAAAAATATGTAATTCCCTTCTGATTGACAGCTATTTATAATCTACAAATACTATGAGGCTGTGTTTACTGGAAATGTTGGCTCGCCAGCTAAAATGAACTGGTGGTGAGTGGGGGTAGCCGATAAAAGGCAGATGACAAGGAGCTCTCCTCAAACCCTCACCCACTGCTGAATGAGTGGGGGTGGGGTACAACTCCAGCTGACTACTTTACATAATGCAAATGTATAATGTAAAGAGATGTTGCATATCGTAATTAAGAAATAGAAAGTCAATCAAAGTAAATATACACACACCATATGTCATAAGTAAGGCATCTTTACCCAAATGTGATGATGCTGAGCGGGTGCCTCATTTGCATACAGCCAATCACAAACGAGTAGGAACCAGGCGTAAGGGCGGTTGTTTTTAATTCTGACCAATCACAGCGTTGTTTTGGTGTGTCAGTCTGAACCAAAGAACAGCCTGTTCCTTATGCTGAATTAAACACCTGTCAAACGATAGTACGCAAAATCCTACACACGCTTTGGGTTCAAAAGTCAAATCTGTGTAATCGGTGTATTATAACACTCAAAATACACACACAGTAAACCAGCACCAATTTAGCATCTCACCATTAACTAACAACGCAAATGCTAGATTAGCTTTAGCAATAACGCTCAGATCTACCTCGTTTATTATGTATCGCCACACTGCTAAAATATACTTCCTGCGGTCAAGATCAAAGGTAATAGTTCTAAACATCAGCAATTATAAGATATCGCTTAGCTAGTGGATAAGGACATCAGTTACCTTCCTCCGTGGCATGTTAAAGGTGTGGCTTATTGATTGTTGCTCTCGGAAAGTCCGAACCGTAGAGAAAGATTACGCGGAACCGATTTGAAAATGTATGTTTTCTGGTCGCATCTGTACAAAAGATTGCAGGAAAAGGGCACATAACTGTGAAGTGCTTTTGATCTGTGGTGTTTATGATCCTGCCCATTCGTTACTGGGAGGTCCGTCGAAAAACTCTGCCCGTGTGGAACATAGTAATGCCATGGTGATGCCACAACAGTTCCTGGTTAAAGTTGAATCTAAACAAACAAAATTAAATCGTAAAAATGTGTGCTAGTTTGTTTTTAGAACATAAAAACACATTTTTAACAGTGAAGTTCATTTAGTGTTCTATGATTGAGGATTATCATAATTGTAGTAATTTTCTCTTGTTTGAGGCATAGACTGTACATGAAACATGTGTTTGTCTAATGATTATAATCTGTAATTGTACTGATAATTCATAGTTTTTTACAATGACCATGATGAGGAAGAGTTTTAATTCTGAATTTAGATTTATAAATTTATATTATTAGAACGTGCAGTGGAAGGACAGTAGGGGGCAGTAGATATGAGGATATGCAGAAACGGAAGAAGAACAAACCTCTGTGTTGGAGCATTGCCAGCAGTAGGCGCATAGAGACCACACGTTTTCTGCAAGAGTTGAATAGGTCTATTTCTGTTTGTTTAACCAAAGCCCGCAAAAGGGAGAATACACGAACTAGAAGGACTTTTGACTAGTATGGCTGGCAGCACCAACAAGACTGTGTACGAAATTTTTCAAAGCATGGAGTATGGTCCTACTGCAAGTTCAAGCACTGCTACTGCACAGGTAAAGCGTGCTCACTATCTGTTTACCAGAGTTCTAAATGTACTGGTAAATGAATAGAGAATATGTTGTTGCATATGCCCTGTATTTACAAAAAGCCTTTAATGTTATGTTGCCAGGAAGTAACGTCCACCTAGTAGTTTATGTAACCCATGTAAAGTTCATTTTCAGAGAGGGAGAGGAGTAACTCACAAGACAAACATGTGACTGTAGACTACTGCTGCATCTAATTAGGACAAGTCAAATGTGAAATGTCTTAAAGACTGGTTGACATGGATTTCGTTTAAGATGCTTACTTCTAGACCATTAGTCAGTTCAATAAAATAACACACAAATCACTGCTCTGCCCTTTGAACTGTTATCTGTAAATGGTTACACAGACATTACCCTATGTGCAGTCTGTTGAAGTGAGGACGTCACACAAACTGTAGTCATTCTAGATTATTTATGTTTGTCAATGTGAATTTTCTCTTTCTGTGGGACATTGCAGGCATGGCTAGATCACCATTCCCGCTCTCTTGGTTTGTTCATCAATGGGAAGTTTGTCCTTCCAGCCAACAGACAGTCTCGCTCTCTTGTGGATTCAAAAGGCCAGGATACCTATTTAATATACATTACGATTGTAGACTTTTAATGGAAAGGTTTGTGACTTATTTTTTGTGCGGTTTATTTGTTGTTTCAGGCGATACTGTGTGCAGTACAGTGTGTGCCATTGAGGACGATGTTTTACAATGTGCCACTTCCTCTGTGAGTGGATTTAAATCTTGGAGCGGTCTGAACTGTCGACAGAGGGCTAAAGTCCTGCTCAGGTACAACTAAAAGCTCATGAGAGCACAACAGGGGTGCTGGAAGTCTGCTTTGAAAATTGTTGGTTTATTAATTATTATTAGACATAAGATTAATGATATTTTTTGCTCAGATTGGCGGATGTGCTGGGTCAGCATGCAGCCTGTGTTTCAGAGCTGTGTAGTCTGTTTGAAGTGCAGTGCTCTCCCGCCTCTGTGGTCAGACTCCTGCAGTATTACAGCAGCTGGGCTCAGCTCAGAGACACTCTGTTGGCCGGCTGGACACCTCTCGGTCAGTAATTATTGCTGCTACTTTTCTTATTCAACCCCCCAGGCGGTTCTAAAGAGAACTGTTTTGTATTGCAGGTGTGGTGCACGTGGTTTGCTCTGACGAATGTTCACTCTATTGTATAATGGCAAAAGTCCTGCCAGCTCTTGCAATGGGTAAACTAAATATAATAATAATATAGTAATATTGCCTCACTCTGTTAAAATTCTTTATTTATTAGGTAATTCTGTCATTATTGTCCCTGGTCACAACGCTGCCCCTTCTACGCTCTTATTGGCTCAGCTGTTCATAGCGGCGGGACTACCTGCTGGGGCTCTTAACATTATAACTGGAAGTGACATTGGTGCTAAAGTGGCCCAGAACCCAAGCATTAGTTATGTCACTTACTCTGGCAACAAGCAGGTTTGAACATTTTTCAGTAATTAACACTTTATGAATGCTAGATGACCATTAAAATCCCACTCTCTTATAGGATGGTGTCAATCTGTGTAAAGCCACAGCTGGTTTTGGCGTTCCAGTTTCTGTTTCTGCAAGTATCGGCGCCACGTGCCCCTTTATCATCTTTGACACTGCAGACATTGATAGTGCAGTGGATGGAGTTATTGAAGCTGCTTTTAAGAAGAAGAAAGAGGTAATTTAAGTTCTTCATTAACAAAATGTACTGTTAGTTAGTATTAAATCTATACATTTAACAGTTTCTTTCCACTTTCATTTAGAATAGATAAATATATTTATACAATATGTTAAAGGTTTTCTACCTGTTTTATATCAAACTGTACATCATAATAGAATGTAATTGCTTTTGTAAAGAAAACGGATAAGTAAACTACACGTTGTATAATCCAATCCATTTATGTTAAGTCTATCCACAATGTTCTTATATTTCTCACTTCACACATTTCCCTTGTGTTTTTGTCCTGTATCTTCTTAGGTTCACTGGGTCTTGTTGGTCCAAGAGAGTGTGGTAAATAACGTTGTGGCCCGTCTAAAACTGCGAATGACTGGAATGAAGAGCGTTCCGTTGGCCTCTGGAGCGAGAGTGCTAGTGGATGCTGTAGTACAGGCGGCTCAACAGGAGGGGGCCACGGTTAGATGAGTTTACAACACAGTGCATTACTTGATGTTTTTATATTGTGGTTAATAAACATTTGCTCCTGTTTGTCCCAGTTGATTCATCCATGTGAGCCGGTTTCATCTGATGCACTGTACCCCCCCACAGTGATTTGTGGGGCAGCCCCCTCCTCGCCATGTGTGGTCAGTCCTGCTCCAGGACCACTGCTGCCTCTCATGACATTCAGGGTGAACTCTGAAGCGGTCACTGTGGGTACGACCTGCATGATGTATTTATTTATTTATTGTGTGAATGTATTATTGTGTTTTAAATTAGACCCCATTGTATTAAACTACTTGTTACTTCTGAAGTCTGTCAGTCCTTGAGTGAGATGATTTTCTCGTTTTGTTTTTTTTCCCCCAAGGTAACCACAGCCCTCATGGTATGGCAGCTTCTATCTGGACAGAAGACCTGACGTTGGCTCTTGAAACAGCAAAGAGGTGCACTTACTTTCAGTCGATTTGTTGGAATAGTGTAAAGTGTTGTATGTTTATCCAGTGTTTCTTCTACTTGCAGTCTGTTTGTTGGATGTGTGTGGGTAAACTCCCACTCTTTTTCTGACCCCTGTATGCCTGTGTCCGGCCACAAGGATAGTGGCACCTGCACCGATGGAGGTCAGGAGGTATGCCTTTTGAGTCTCATGATCTATTTGAACTATATTTTTGAGTTATTTATTTGTTTTTTGTTTGTCATTTGTTAGGGTCTGTACCATTTTCTAAGGTTGTCCTCTTCTAAAATGCCAAATCCTAGATCGTCACCGGTTTCTTTGGACTATGCAAAATTTGGAGTTGCAGCCTCTACAATAATAATCCCGGATGATTCTGATCCTGCCTGGTAAAACAGTTTGAGTTCAATAAATCTCATTTCTCAAATGACATTTCTATCTCTCTACAGCTCTCCAAAAATGTATCAACAGCTTGTTGGAGGAAAGACTTGTAAATCGGTGTCCGGAGGCAGTGTGTCTGTGCTGTCAGCAGATGGTGCTAAACTGCTGGGGTACTGTCCTGATGGAAGCAGGAAAGATGTTCGTAATGCAGTGGAAGCAGCAACTAAAGTCCAGTCTGGGTCAGTGCCTCTGCCACGGCAGACACTTGTTTACAGTTCATGTAAGCAAGAGACAAGCAGGGCATGGAGAAGTTTATACAAACCCAGTTCAATTCACAGAACTGATCAAAGATCATCTAGAAAGCCGTTTGAAATGAGTGTGGAAAACGCATGTGCTTTCTTAAAATAAGAAATTCAGGCTCAATTAATTTAAGAAAGCTCAGACCAATGAGAAAACTGCTCAAAGCATCACACAAACCTTTGAACCTCCTTTTAGGAAACATTTGATAAATTTACATATGTACATATGTTGACTGTGTTAGTTTATTGCCCACTTGTTTACAAGTCTAATGTTTTCAGTAAAAACCAGCGTCAACAGAATCCAAAGTCCCTTCTCCCGTCTGATAAGGAAGTGGAAGTGCTGCGTCAGTCCTTTCACACACATTGATAATGTGTGTGAAAGGACACAGAGTAAACAGGACTTAACTGTTGCTATGATACTGTACTATTTACTTCATGCCAGGAATTGTGTTTATTAAATCATGCATGACACTCTTATCATGGTTTCATAATAATGTTAATCTTCTTTTTGTGTGACAGTTGGGTGAAGAAAAGCCTGTCTGCGCGCTCCCAGTTGCTGTACTCTTTGGCCAAAAGCCTGGAGGCAAAGAAGAAAGACTTTGTGGCGTGTTTGTGTGCACAGACGAGCGTGTCCGCAGAGGCGGCCGGCTCTGAGGTCGAGCTCAGCGTCACCAGGCTCAGCGACTGGGCGGCTCTCTGCGACAAGATGCACGGGGGATCTTTGGTAAGGATTAGTAAGTAAGTAAGTAAGTAATCTTTATTTATATACCGCCTTTTCACTGCAGATTTGAGTCTCAAAGCGGTTTACAATTGTTAATTTTTGGGCATTTGTCTCTCACTCCACACAGAGATGGGAGCGGGGCCAGTACAGGAGGCGCATGCTAGAACTATTGGACATATTTTTAGTGGTAGGGGAAACCGGAGTACCCGGAGGAAACCTACGCAGACACGGGGAGAACATGCAAACTCCACTCAGAAAGGCCCTGGTCCGACCGGGATTCGAACCCAGGACCTTCTTGCTGAGAGGCGAGAGTGCTATCCACTCAGCCACCGTGCCGCCCGCACGGTGGATGCCGCCCGCAAGGATGTACTAGTCTGAGGGATTTAAGTAAAAGTATAGACACAAGTATTCATTAAAGTAGAAATTTACTGACTGATAAATGAATGAATTGAAGAAGAAAAGTATAAGCTTTTATATTTCATAAGTAAAAATATGTAGTGTCATTGTTAGGCACATAACAGCACACATCAAATCATAAGATGACGAAGGATACAAGTACACTTGGGTCACAAATAAGTACAATATACGTAAAAGACGATTACAAGATAGGTGAAATAGGTAATATACAGATAGTATATTTCAAAAGTTCTTAGCATATATTTCAATAAATGTTTCAAACTGACTGAGAATATGTCAAACAAAATGTGTAGAATCTAAATGGTTATCTGAACCCACAATCAATGAATGGACTTAGAAGCACGGCTATTCACTTCAATCGTGTTTTTATGTATCTTTTAAGTAAAGTAGTAGAAAATACAGATTAATGGTACTGAACCATTGATGCAAGAAAAAACGACTTTATAACAGTACATAAGTCAAAATACTATTTTGACTAATACAATTCTAAACAGACTAAATGTTGTGTATTCCTCGTCCAATAAAGACGTTGACTCTACTTGGAAATGTATTCAATGTTATTGCTCAGTACTTGTCTTGTCCCTTTGTTTGGCTTCTTGTCTCTGGCTGAACTTGTGCAGCCCGTGCCACATTCGGGCACCGCTCTGTCCCTGGCTGATCCCCTGGGGGTCATTGGGATTGTCCTGCCCGACAGAAGCCCCCTCCTCTCCGCTGTGACACTTCTGGGGGCTGCCATCGCCACGGGCAACGCTGTCATCATGGTGCCCAGTCAGAAGTATCCATTGCCAACACTGATGCTCATTCAGGTACAACACCAAAGGATTAAAGCGCTAAACTCTACTAATTCAAGGTTTTAGTTCTTCTACATTATGGTTAGCAACGTTATCACCTTTAATTCTACTAAGAAGACCAGAAGAATCTTCCTAAACTGCTAAACTCTACTATCCTCCAGTGTGGCAGCAAACAAATGTTAAAGCTTGGCCATGTAACTTTCAAACCAAGAAGAATGGAGTTTTAGTTTTCACCTGCATGTATTTCATTATTTCATAATGACTCCCAGAGTTGAGTTGAGTGTTTATTTATTTCGAGTTCATGTACCTCAAATCATCCATTTACAGTTACTTGTTACTGTAAATGAAACCATGCAGACTTTGAGCGCGTTGCACGAGCGCATCGCTCAGCTCACTTTAACTGTAACTGTACTGTAATGTAAGGAATGGCACCTCCAAAGAAAAACATAACTTTTGAAGAGGCTGGCGATGTTAGGAACTCGCTTGAGTTGTTAAGAGAGGATGTTGCCAAGATACTCGAGGATCAAAACAAGATACTGAGTCTGATTGAGGAAGTAAGGATGCTACGCGCTGAAAACAAGGAAAAAGACAAAATGAGTTAATTCTTACAAATATGGAACACATACATACATACATATTTGTTTATTGGTTTTATTTTTTTTAAGAGAACGGCAGCATGTTGTCGTCTGATTTGTTCACGAAATGTTTCTATTACAAGTCTCCTACTGTCAAGTCAAACATAATGTAGTTGTTATGACAGAATACTATAGTTATTGCTCTCATTAAAATGCTGTAATTCCTCCTCCTCTGTAGGCGCTGCAGTGCTCCGCTCTGCCTCCAGGCCTGGTCAGTATTATCACGGGCAGTAAGGACCAGCTGACTGTGGCTCTGGCCAACCACAGTGTCATCAAGGGCATCTGGTACTGGGGCTCTGCTGAGGTGGGCCAAAACAAACTGCCTTTTTATTTATTTACTTCAGAAGCCATGCACATTGATTGGTACTAAACTAGTTCTCTGTGCTGTAGGGCTGCCAGTACCTCCAGGACACCTGCTCCAGCCCTCTGAAGACTCTGGTTTGTCAGGGGGACGACGGGGAAGAGGGGGAGTGGGCTCGGTGTGACCTGGCCTTCCTGGAACGCCAGTGGAGGAGGGCCGTCCAGTGGAAGAGTGTGTGGCTCCCGACCGCCTGAAGTCCCAGAGTCTTGACACATGCAACATGAAGGATGCAGTCTGTGTAACGTTAGATTCAGAGTTAAAATCAGGTACCAGTGCTTTGAACTGTGAACAAACTGAAAGCTATTCCGTAAACGGATTTTTTTTCCATCCACTGAAGTGTTTTTTTAGAGAGGCCAAATCATCCATAAGATAATGAGAGAGGATCATGTAAGGATTATGTCAAAAGGTACTGACTTTGTTTTATATCAATGTGATCGTTTGTATTCAATAGACTGAAAGCAACCAAAGTCATTTCTCTAAGAGGATGATGTATTTTCTAATAGGCAGGGAAATTTGCAAAAATTTGACAATTCGATAGTTCCACAATTCAATATTATTGCAATGTTAAGAATTTTGTGTTTCAATTCTGCGATATATTGTAATTTATGTCCCTATTCAAAGGCATTATAAAAAAACTCAAATTTCACATTTATTATGGTCTGCACAATAACTGTGCAAAGATCGTTATGCTTGAAACTTCAGGACATTATTCTGTCTCATAGGCAACCTCTCTGAATGGTGAGCCTTTGATTTCAATCCAGATATTATTTGCAATTTCAGAAATATGTTCTATATGATAAAAAACAATCAACTTTATTGCCTTAAGATCCAAACTGTTAGAACACTTTCTTACCACGCTGATTTGTTACATTCCATGATGTGCCTTGCTCATTCTCTTGTGTACCTCCCACATAAACAACTGTATCTACACCATCACTAATAGAATTCTGTATAAGGGATGACTTTCTGTACAATCCCATGGCTGTTTCTGAGTAAAGTTTATTTATGGAACATTCCAGAAAACAAATTAAACTAAAAAGTGAAACAACATATTTTTGAATGTCTTTTTTGTATTATTTACTGGAGTCCTGACCTTGTTTGGTTCTCATTAATTAATATGGTACTACATTCTATTCTTGTTCTCAAACAGATGTTTTTTAGAAGAATCATAAATCTGACACCATTGAGATGACTGAAAATATAATTCATCTTTATTAGTCGATTTAGGCTTTTTAAGAACTATGCCTCACCTGTAGTTGTAAAAGTCATGTTTAGAATCCTCCTCCAGTCAAGTTGCCGTCATTACTAGAATGAAAATAAAATTAAAGCCGCAAGCGGCAATGAAAGGCCTCGCCCCTCTCGCAACCGCCTCCCGGGCGCCAGTCCTACAAGCGTCACGCCGACGAATTGGCAGCCCGATCTGACCAGGATTACGTATATAAAAGCTCATTTATATGATAAAGTGCGTCCCTAGTGGTCACCTCCGGGACATGCACCCTCTACGTAGAGTAGTATTTTGCTCGTACAGATGTAAAGATTTGATTTTGCAACTTTGGTGAAGACCGGAAAAGTTTAGGTCAGATGCCTTCCATAGGTGGCGCTGTAGAGTCATATTAGGTGTGTGTTTTCACACCATTACTCTCAGCCCATTACCAACTGTTAGTGATGTGAGTTTCAGCTCTGTAGGTCTGAGCCTGTGGTCACGAGAGCATCAAACATGGAGAAATTCCCCACTACCTCGCATGAAAACGATGATAAAAATTTTAACTTTTATGCGATGATTGCATAACTTCAATCCATCGAGATGGAGAAATGACATAGTAGAAATCTGTATGATGAAAATCCAGGGACTAGTACGAAGCCAAAAATGCAACACCTTGAACTGCCTGTAGGTGGCGCTGTTGCACTCACAGTTGTGTGTTGCATATCGTTGTGTTCAGGGTCATACGCTGTATTTCTGAATTCATTTTTAGCCTCATCGGACAACCATTTTGCCCCAAAAAGCTCATTCATTAACTTTCCAGCGCCCCCAGTGGTCAGGTGTAGGACTTACAACTTTTGCGTAATGTAATGTGTTGCTCGTCTCGGTCCAGAAAATACACTCAGCGATTTTCGGGCCGATCCGAGCACTAGTGCCCTATTACTTTCCGACAGGTGGCGCTAAAGAGCTCATATTGGGCGAATGATTTTAGTGTCATTGCGTTCAGGCCATAACCTAATATTACTGATGTGAGTCTCAGCTCTGTAAGTCTGAGCCTGTGGCCCTCAGGGCTCAGCGAAAATGGCCAAAACAAAGGCCTTATTCGCCATGGCGAGGGACGAAAACGGTGAAGATTTTCTAACTTTTGTTTGATAATTATATAACTTCAATCCATCCAGATTAGGAAATGACGTGGTAGAACTCTGTGTGATGAAAAACCAGGGAATGGCAACTTCAGCCCATCATGGCCGACTTCCTGTTGGTCCCAGACATGTGCTCAGACCGGCTTTTATGCTCGTCTCATAGAGATCTATCACTCATCCGAATTTTGTGTACCTACTCCAAAATATGCAATCCTGCCTCCAATAGAAATGGCAAATTTTGAATTTTCAAGGGGGCGCTATTGATTCGCCTTTTGTCGGACAATCTCGAAACGTCCGTTTTATCAAATGTTTCGCCGAACCGGTCGTTTTAGACCCCCCATGTGCAGACTTTCGTGCATGTCTTCAGGGTCAAAAATCGAATTGTTTCGGCGGAAAAAGAATAATATGAAACCACCGAATAACAATAGGCCTCCCCAATACTACGTATTGGCTCGGCCTAATAATATGAAACCAACGAATAACAATAGGCCTCCCCAATACTACGTATTGGCTCGGCCTAATAATATGAAACCAACGAATTACAATAGGCCTCCCCAATACTACGTATTGGCTCGGCCTAATGAAAGATGAATGCCGTAAACAGTATTATTTGTCTCTACATTATTGAACACATGTTGCGTCACAAGTGTGTGCTGTGTGTGTTTCGGTTCCTTCCCAGACTAGTTTAATCCTGCTGATGTCGCCTCACAAAACTACACAGTTGCATGTCTGCATTTCTGGTGTGGCTGCACTTCCTTTTCTGTCCTCAAAGACACTGAAACGGGAAGACTGAGTCATGGCAGTGACACAGCAGATTTCTGGGCTCTTTATTACAAAAACAATCACGGCATTGCAAGGATCTAAAAATTGTTATATGATTATATGGTATTTGTTTTACTACAGTATAACACAGGATTATTACATGGTGGCTGTAGCACCAAATGTACATGTTCTCTACTGAGACACAGACCTGCTGTGGTCTTATTTGTTCACTTGTGTTTACTTCCACAAGACATCCTTAACAAAAAAAGTTTTATTCCCCTGCTTTAATTTACTGAAGTCGACAATATTAGAGCATTTTTTTTTCTTACTTGTATTCAATATTCTCCACTTGTTTTTCTACATATATCAAGGATTGTTGCAGCTTGATTTACAGCACAACATGCGGTGTTAGGACAAAGGCCATCTTTTGTTGGTTTTATACTTTATACTAAACATAAAGATCTTTGTTCAAGATTTTTAGCATTGTAGATTTTGTTTAATTCCAACTCCAGACAGGGCCTCATGTGGAGTTTGTATGTTCTCCCTGTGTCTGCATAGGTTTCCTGGTTTCCCCCATCACTAAAAACATGTATAGGTCTGGCATGAATCTCCTGTATAGCGACCCTGCTCCCAATAGTGAATAGAGTGAGAGGACAGCAACAATTAAAGTGCTTTGTGAGTCTATCTGTGAAAGTCGCTATATAAATAAAGATAACTTGCTTATTTACTTGAGGGGAAACAATTGTTTCTGTATTTTCAGTCCATTCATTGGGATCTGTTTACAATGTGTATCAGTAGATATTGAAAGTCAAAGAATCTAGAATGGACATGAAAATAGATGCATTCCAGTCAGAAATATGATCTCGTTTTAAGGAATACTGAACACTTGCCAATTCACTTCAAATATTAATCACTTTGTTGATTGAAATTGAGTTATTTGTATTTACAAGGGGTAGAAGAAATATGCACTCTTTGTATATAAAATATGCTCCGTCATCGTTGTCCTTTGTCACAAGATCACAATTAAATAATAGTGCAAAGTCATGGTTATCAAATAGCCGTGGCTTGTGATTGGTGGAGGAGCGGCGTACGCAGGGGTCACGTGCTCTCAGTAGTATAAATTGACGCAGTGAATAGTCTCCCGTCACTTCAGGGACAGACCAGAGTAGTTCTTGCTTCAACAGTGTTTGAACGGAACTTCTTGCTTCGTCCCACTTTCTTTGGCGGCTGCGAGACATCTTGGACACAAAGAATCCTGCTACTTGAACACTACTGAATCCCATCTGCGCAGAGCTATATTTTTTGTACTTTTCATAAGAAAACCTAAACGCCAGCCAAAATGGAGTCTCAAGTCCGTCAGAACTATCACGCCGAATGCGAGGGCGCCATCAACCGCATGATCAACATGGAGCTGTACGCCTCCTACACCTACACCTCTATGGTGAGTAAACCTGTTGTGGAAGTGCGGGTCAGATTCTTGGTTTTGGTGAAATCCTGTTAAGAATGCAAAAACAAAATGTCCAGGGACTGTTTACACTGGTACATAAGTACAAGTCTGTTCTCCACTTATTGTTGAGTCATGCTCAGCCAGGGGGAGGGGCCTCCAGGTTGTTTTGCACTAGATGGACTAGTCTCTGCTCTATGATTACTGCTGACCACTGCTGGCCTCATAACTATTGTTAGTCATCAAGCTGATCATCTAATAACACAGTATGTATGTACTAATGGTTGTTGTCCATCTTCACAGGCTTTCTACTTTGACCGTGATGATGTGGCCCTGCCTGGGTTTGCTCATTTCTTCAAGGAGTCTTCTCATGAGGAGAGGGAGCATGCAGAGAAGCTTCTGTCCTTCCAGAACAAGAGAGGGGGACGCATCTTTCTCAAAGACTTGGAGGTCGGTTCAATGATCAGATTTAAAAAATCAAAATGAGAGTTGAATCCGCCAAGTTGTTAACATGTGCCTTACTGTATTATTCTCTATAGAAACCTGAGCGTGACGACTGGGGCAGTGGCCTCGAGGCAATGCAGTGCGCTTTGGTCTTGGAGAAGAAGGTGAACCAGGCCTTGCTTGATCTTCACACACTGGCGTCTAGCCATAATGACCCTCATGTAAGTAAAGACCACTTTGTCAAGTGTAGATCTTGTGTCTGCTTGGTTTAAAATGTGTATATATTTTTTAATTCTTTTCTCTATTCTACCCTTAGCTGTGTGACTTTTTGGAGAGTCACTACCTGAATGAGCAGGTGGAGAGCATCAAGAAGATCGGTGACTATGTCTCCAACCTGACCCGCATGGATGCCAAGAACAACAAGATGGCTGAATACCTGTTTGACAAGCACAGCATGGGCGGAGGCAAGAGCTAAACCCATTCCTACGTCACAGTCTGCAAGTTATAGGCCAACTGTATACTTTCCACTCCGGTTGACTTGCCTGCCAACCAAAGTCTAATCTTCATGTAGACTCAAAATGGCCTCAGTGTTTCTGCATTGTAATTTGACAAAGATTAATGTTGGTGGCTTGTCTTGAGCCTGTAACAACCTTTTTGCTCATCTTTTAATAAACTTTTTGTGCTGGAACTATCATGTGGTTTTTTGTATTTGCCTAAAAGTTTACGTTTAAGATTTAAGCAGATGTGTATCACCCAAATACTATGTTTGAAGATGTATGCAAAAGGCTACAATTTAAAGCTGGGATATGTAACTTTTCTTCTTTGCGACTACTATCTTACAAAACCTGCAACATCTGCATCTTCGTTACGCTTTGGGCCCAATAGCTGAGTGGGTGGCTTTCACTTTTCTAAAGCTAAAACGTGACATTACAGAAAATGCAGCTGGATTGGGATTTTTGTAGCTCGTGACCCCGCCTTAGCACTTGCCAAAATTTAACATAATTGCACCGTCACAAGATGGCGACATTGTCAATGATTTAAGTCGTCTGTCTCAAGGTTAATTGTTGCATACCGAGAAATGTTCTTAATTCCAAAGTTGCGTCACAACAGTGTGAAGGAGCACACAAGTACATATTCAGTATAGGACAAACCAATAAAAATAATCTCAAGTATTTATAAAAAAAATTAAAATTGCACTAAAGTTAGTTGACAGTAAAGTGACAGGGCACATGTAGTCCCATATTGCACATTCTGGCATTATTGCAGAATGTGCATACACTTCGAAAAAACAGGATCTTCTCTCTTGATTTATGACTACGGGGGATGTGTTCCTTGTTTTGATGTTGGCTCCCCCTGCTGTCTTGAAATGGAACAGCCACTGTGCAGGTGAGATTAGCTGGAGACGGGGCAGACGGACACTACACCAGCACAGAAGCATCTCATGTCAGATTTTTCTTCAAGTTACGGTACATGAATAGAAATAACTGGACTATCACACCGCCCTGCTAAGAACAGGTAAGACACATGTAGCTTTTAAGACAAGTTTGAGTTGTTTTTTTGTTTTTATAAATGGGGTTTTACACATTTCTGCTAGACAACCGCAGAAAACAAAGCATGTTAAGTCACGAGAACGTGAATATCAGCCTGTTGAAGAAGCAGTATGTTCTTTAATGCATCATTTATCTTTAGTCACTATATTATACAGGCAACTCTATGTGTAGGTCTACCCAAGAGCAAAATAGCTGACGAAACCTGTAACTTGACATAAATCTAATCATTTGGGCAGATGTTGTGGCCTATGGTCTGTTGATGTATTTCTATTTATTTGTTATAGTCTTGCATTGACGGCTTTCTAAAAGACGCGCAGATTAGATGAAGTGGATTAGCGGTGGCCACATTGTGCGTCTATTTCCAGAGCCGTTTGCGCTCACGTGTAGGCAAAGAACCCTATGGGGCTTTGCAACTAGGTGTCTACGCGCAAAAGGGTATCCATAAAGCCAGAACCACAGAACAAATGCAGATCCAGAAGTAAGAAGTAAAGTATCTTTAATTTGATTTTTTTAATTTGCAATTGCACCTGACTATTAGAAAGACATCATACGATAAGATAAGATACAACTTTATTGATTTCACAGAGGATAAATGTACGTGTTACATTTGGCTTCACTCATATTATCATGCCCCTTAGAAGAAGATGTACTTAATTGATCTCACAATGATCAATTAAATGAATACTCATATACACAAATCACATCAAGGCATGCTGTGTGCTGTTACTTCCGCGCTCCTTATGGGCAAAGTGGGGTAAAGTGTTTTGCCCAAGGACATAACAACAGCAGACATCAGTGGGAAGTATTTTAGATTAGTATGTCTATCATAACACCACGTTATTAAAACTAGGGTACCTAACTTTCAAACCACAAAAAAGAACTATGTAATCAAATTTATGCCACTAGTCCACTAGTCTTAAAACAGTTGGGGTGTTTCCACCAGCCCTACTTGGCTCTACTCGGCTCTGCTCTACCTGAATGCATGTCCATTACGCTATAATATCTGGTACCGTATTCTAGCAACTCACCCACAACAAACGAGAATCTGGAGAAATTCCTTGGTAAGGCTTCCAGTAGCACTTTGGCCATTCTCTGGTTATAACACTTTAGCACCAGCCTGGATCGAATCAGGGCCATGATGATACTGTACCAAGTACTGGTTCAACAAGGCTGAGGAAACAGTCTCAGTGCAGGGTGTAGAGTAGAGCTGAGTACGGCTGGTAGAAACAGGACTCATCAGTATAGTTTTTGAGAAGTGACTCACTGGGCTCTTTCTTACAAGTTTACAAAATATAACATGTTTTTAATACAAGAACATGTTATGTATGTTGAGGTCTGATTAGTTCACAACATTGTACTTGAACAAGAATATTTCTGTTGGAGACATATTTCTTCACTCTTTCACTGTGTATACTTGGGATTTTAATGCTTCCTTTTCTTGTTTTGTTAGGCACTTTGAGTGGCCTTGTGTATAAACTGTGGTATACAAATAATCTTGCCTTGCCATGTAGGCAAACTTATGAGGAGAAAAAGAAACAAAAAAGTAGAGGAATAAAGATAATCAATCATTAGAAATTGGTTATCCCATCCTCAAAACATCTGTTGTAAGTCTTGAATAATGCTGTGAATTCAAATTGCCCTTTCATATTGGACCGACTGTGGAGAAGGATTATGGCAGAAACAGTGACAGGTCAGAAAGGAAGGAGACGCTCTGCTCTTCATTTGTTTAATCTGTGGATTTGTGGATTACCTTTGGAATTAAAGCACATACAAACGTGCACTGGGCAGACAACAAAAGCAAAGAGAGTAATAGTGCCTGCTTTAGTTGATTTTAGACAAATTCTCGCCCCAGTCTGAAAATGTCATATCTCGGGAAATGAGAAACGTACCTCAGCTTGTGTAGTTCATCATTTCTTTGGTCATTATGTCACCAACAAGACCAACTCCATACAAATCCAAAATCGACTTCAACCAAGTTTTATAAAACCCATAAAACTCAAAGGCTCATTTATTAAATCTCTGAGTTTCTTGTATCTTTCTTCTACATTCTATCAACAATCAGTTGAATCACAGGTGCTTTTTGTGGCTGTAGCGCGTGTGTTAAGTGACCAAGGATTAGAGGATTAGAGATAGCTCAAAGGTCTGATGGACCTCAAGGGCAAACAAAGAGAAAACAAAGAGACTAAATGGTAAGAACCTATTTCCATTTACTGCATCACGTGGTTATTGTGATGGAAGGTATCAATAAACTCATGGCACAATATTGGAATTCACATGTTTTTGTTATTATTGTCTTTCCTGTGTTTGAACTGTTTGATTCTCTGATCTGTTTTTGAAGAATCAACACTTTTGTAAAGTCCTCTGAGATGAGCGCTGTTGTTATTTGGAGCTATACAAAAATAAATGAAATTTGATTTTATTGTTTAACTAACAATTACAATTATTATGATTATAATAATAATAATGATACATATTTATTTGTTCATCCCTTTTCAAACCAAACTTTGAAAACGGTAAAGAAATCATACAGGAAGTTAGGGTTAGGGTTTGGCACAAAATGTGCACAAAGTGTGCACAAAGTGTGCCAAATAGATTCTGAATGGCCATAGTTTATGTAAAAGGGAAACTGCAACAAAATTATAAAAGAGGTCTTAAACTTTACACAGTTGTTGCCAACAAAAAAATTATCATAGGGTTTAAATATTGTGAGCTTACAGAAGCCTTTGCTTGGGTCTTGGGCTAAAAGAATCTTCAAAGGATGCAGAGTGAAATAGGAATGACATACATTCTTCTAGTGTATATCTGCATAAACTAGAAGGCTCTAGATGGTGTATTTTTAAATATGCAAAGACATTTGGGTATCCCCAACTAAGCCAACTTTTGTGCAAAAGCCAAAATGAGGTTACTGATGTGAGGTTTAGTATAGGGTAAAGTTTAGGGTCATGAGTCCAGGATCTACAGTACAGGATACTGTAACAGTGGCAGTGCTCCTGGACAGTTAATGACTTGGTGATATCGTGCTTGTTGCCCCAGTCATTCTACTTATTCTTTGACAATTAGACTGACGGAAGTGTTGCCTTATAAATGCTTTTCCACCATCTATGACAATGTTTTCCGCACAGATCAAAATGCACCTGGTCGGTGTGTCCGGGGTGCGGCTCCGGAGGGCGGCCGAGGAGGAGGAGAAAGAGAAGGAGCGCCCCGTGGCCCCTGTGCACCCCGCTGTCTCCCACAAAGAGTTCACCAACCTCAAAAACAAGTTCTTTGATGAGCTCACACACCTGCCCAGTGAGTTTAACCTATTCACCCACACAATGCATCATGGCCAACGTGAATGTAACTCATTTTCAAAATGCAAATATTTCTTTCCACTGAAATAAACCCAGTGGTTTTCAAAATACTTTTTGCCAAAGTAATACTTACTTATCATCAATCCATTCATGCATTGTTGTACTCTTTAACTGTTGACGGGTCGCGGGGGCAACAGTCTGGGTAGACGTCCAGCAGACTTCCCTATCAACACATTTCCTCCAGTTAATCTGGGAGGAATTTGGACACATGAGCTGTGTCCAAATTCACACAATGCTCCGTAGGAAGAAGGCTGCCTATGAATTTGGACACACCTAAAAGCCCTCCAACGCGTACTGGGTCTTCCCCGGGTTAGGGTTCTCGGTGTTTCTTTATATTGCAGTTCTCTCTCCATATTCATTGATCACACCTGAACAGTTGACTTCTTGACTGGAATGTGACATTATAATAATAAACAATAATAATAAAATGGTTTCTTTTGAGAAAACGGTTTCTAAATGTATTTGGTGAATTACACATTCACTTGCTTACAATAAGAACTTTCTTTTGTATTTCTTTTGTGTTCACGCAACCACTCAACTCTGTATTCAAGATCATAAACTTGGCAGTAAGTTTTGTATATTTCAACTTCTTTTTTAGATACAGTTTCGAACAAGACTTAATTTTGCCCATGTTTCCTCTGCAGTGCCAATGTGGGCTGCGGGCGCCATCGTGGTGGTGATCCTGGCCCTCGTGGGGTGTATGGGCTACTGTATTTACAAAAAGTGCTTCAAAAAAGGCAAAAAACCAAAGAAAGTGAGAGAAAGACGAGCGGGAGGAGGCCGCGGGCGCAGGAAAAAGGACAAGGATGGAGAGGATGATGAAAAGAAGGTACTGCACGTTGAGGATGTTGGAAGTCCCAATATTCATGTCCCAATATAAAACTGAAGAAGATGGCTTTATTGAATATCCTCAAAATGTATGTTGAAATGTTTGAGCAAACAAAAAAACATTGAAACTGATAATCATATTTAGCATTACACCCCAAAAACTAAATTACATGCATTTTTGAACTGAATTTGTTTTTTATGTCAAAAAAGTAAAGTTTGAGAAAATCGCCAGAGTGCAAAAAGCCAAATTATTTATAGGGATATTACGGACTGGACAAAGTCTGACCAAAATGCTTCATAGATCCTTTCCAAAAGATATGAAGTGTATAGCATGTAGACGCGTATAGCATGGTTTATATTGACCTGTATTTAACCAGGAAAGTCCCACTGAGATTTCAGAATCTCTTTCAGGGGAGTCCTGGCCCCAGAAATAGGACAGGTGTGGGGTTGGGGAGGGTGTTTTAGTGGTAGTGGAAACCTACACAGGGAGAACATGCAAACTCTACACTTGGAGGTACTGTATGTTCGAACCCAGGATACTCTTGTGCGCCACCGTGGTACAGTGGCTAGCACTTGTGGATAGAGAAAGGTTCAATACTTCAGGTTAGGATTAGGGTCTTTCTGTTCAGATATGTTATTACTCAAGTGGAAGTATTCTCAGAGCTGACTGTGCTTGTGTCGCACAGGACGGAGACGAGGCTAAAGAAGAAGAGGAGAAGGAGTTCTTTGGTAAACTGGAATACAGCCTGGACTATAACTTCAATGATAACCAGGTATGAACAATGAATTAACCGTTTACAGTATTTCAATGTAGTTTATCTGCCATATGCACCTGTTATATGTAACAAATATGATACATGTATATAATATAAAACATGATGTACTTTTGCAGCTGATCGTAGGAATCCTCCAGGCACAGGACCTGGCAGCGATGGACATGGGCGGCACTTCTGATCCCTATGTGAAAGTGTTCATGCTCCCGGACAAGAAGAAGAAGTTTGAGACCAAAGTCCAGCGCAAGAACCTGTCTCCAGTCTTCAACGAGACTTTCACCTTTAAGGTACGTACAAAGTGTTCTATAGTGACGGCCGTACACACAGCCCCTGATACAAATTAGAAACTTATTATTTTCCATTTTCTACTGCACACATACGCATAGACTCTAACAAATGCTACTTTACACAAACTGCACCAGCTACAATTTAAAAGAAAGTGTTTTTGTTCACATAAAAGCTGCACTTAAATATAAGCCACAGTTTTTATGTTGTAATGTACCACTAGAATCAACAGCTGATGGAAAACAAACCAAAACAAAGCAGATACCACTGTTTTAACTGGACACAACATTATTGACAACGTGTTTAACTCACGATCATTCCTACTAAAACACAAATAAGCCATAGAAATGAGTAAAAACAGCTATTCTTAGACCACAGCCCTAATCACATGAACACAAGCCCTGTGTGTTTTCCTGCAATTCTTTGTCTCAGCTCTTTCTGCTCTTCGCATAAACACACAAAAAGTGGGACAGCGTGCTACATCAGCTGTATCCGGACCAAAATGAAAATACATACATGGGTCGCCTCGCTATGTAGGCTGCAGAATTCACAGAAGTTGAATAAAGTAGCAGCTATCGTCCAGTCAGTACTGTATATACTGTATTTTTATTCACAATGAGAGAAGTTTTTACCTATTTCTGGTCTGATTAAGAATTTATGGACACAAGATTTAAAAAAAACAAATTGTGTGGGAATTGTGTGTTTCAAACCATGTACTTGTATTTGTAATATTGATAATTGTGATTTTTTTTTTTATTGTGGAGGTTTAAAAATGAAGTAAAAAATATAAAATCAATGCGCAAAACCAGTGAGGATCTAAGTGAAAGAGAGTGGAAATATCACAGTCGCGCCATCCAACCACAGTCTTTCATTACAACATCGTCATTGTGGTGTTTGCAGATCCCCTACGCCGAGCTCGGAGGTCAGACCCTGGTTTTGCAAGTTTACGACTTTGATCGCTTTGGAAAACACGACCTCATCGGTGACATCAAGATCCCCATGAACACTGTGGACCTGGCCCAGCCCATTCAGGAGTGGAAGGACCTGAGCGGAGGAGAGAAGGAGGAGGTAAAGTGTAAATTTTTGGAGGTCTTAAATGCAGGCCAAGCAGAATGATCCAGCCTTTACCTGTTCAGTAGTATCATAATAATAATCGCTTTGAGTTTTGGTTTGTCATAGTTTAGGTTCATACTTCTGGGTCTGGTTCACTTGAAATGGACAAATCTGGTTCACTTGTGGAAAAAAAAGTGGAAGTAAATGTGAACGCGCCCATATCTGGTTGGTGTCATTTGTCAGAGCAATACCAGACCAGAGTGTTTCCATTAAAATAAAACTCAAAAAAAACGTTTTGTGTTATCTATCTATAGGTTTTTGCTTCTTTCCCACTCCATTTTGAGCTGACAAACTGTGAATAGAGCTGCATTTATTACTAATTATACAACACATGGTGAAACTAGGGTAAATACTGTTGCTTTATTGTATATTTATGTTTATATATTTGCATGTGTAAGTATATACCGTAAGCACTGTAGGAAACATGTACAAAAGGTTATGTAAACCAAGGAATGTAAATATTGTAACTACTACTCAATGCATACATTCTCAATCAATGAAACCTAATGAACCTTGTGAACGGACACGATCAATAGTTTTAGAGGTGAAACTCGGAAAATTAGAGTACGGTCAAAAAGTCCGTTTACTTCTGTAATTTAACTTACAATGTGAAACTAATACATGACAGACTCACAGGCAAAGTTACAGTGTTGTTGATAATTGGCTCACAGCATTAAACCCCCACAAATAATATATACAAAATGTGATTATAACATTTATTTATCCAAATTATGGACATTGGTCATCACCTCTTCTGGACCAATATGTGTTTTCTGTTTTATTACTCGTTCTCTGATCTGTGTTGGCGATTTCAACGGTTTTGGTTAGTCCTCAGAGAAAACTACTGTTGTGATTCAGGGCTATACAAGAATACTTTGAATTGAGTTGAATATTTTTAAAAATGGTCTGTAAATCATAATCATTTAAATTAATATCTAATCGAATGAAATCACTGACATGCATTATATTCATTGTTTGCAGCAAGAGAAGCTGGGAGACATCTGCATTTCTCTACGATACGTCCCCACGGCTGGAAAACTGACTGTTAACGTCATGGAAGCCAAGAATCTGAAGAAGATGGATGTGGGAGGTCTCTCAGGTTAGTGGCAGTTTAAGCAACCAAACTTGAGAAGAGTTGTTGTAGATTTGCTTCATCAAATGTGGTCTCTCCGCAGATCCGTACGTGAAACTAGTGCTACAACACAACGGAAAGCGGCTCAAGAAGAAGAAGACGACCGTCAAACAGAACACACTGAATCCGTATTTCAACGAGAGCTTCAGTTTTGAGATCCCATTTTCCCAGATACAGGTTTGTACAAGACTTTGCACATGGACTGGATATTTAGTTTATAGAATTATGCCAAATAGACATTTTTGTGCTCTTAACCATATTCCAACATTGTTCCTTCATCCTGGACTTGTTTTTTTTTTGTCTATCAAGAACTTCTGGCACAATCTAAATTCTCTTGTCTCGTATGATGTCAGGTTCAGAGCAGTTTTTTTACTTTTTTAAAACAAAAGTATTTCTCATCACATGGCAGTGTTTGAAATCAATGTATTTTTACAAAATTCCCTCTGGTGGTAGCTTAGGGAGTTACAGGCCGATAGCATGTTTTAACCTTGATGCTTGTTTTGCCATATATTTTGTTCTTACGTTTGATATTTTTTTTAACTAAAGGAATATTAGTTCACCGTCTAAAAACATACTTATAAATAAAAGAGAAAAGTAAAGTCTCATTATGTATAATGGTAAAAGATAAGCTTTACTAAGTCTTGTTTAACTTGTGCTTGTGCTCACAGAAAGTGCAGTTACTGGTGACTGTCTATGACTACGACAAGCTGGGCAGTAACGACCCCATCGGGAAGTGCTGGATCGGTTACGGATCGTCCGGGGTGGGTCTGCGGCACTGGTCTGACATGTTGGCCAACCCCCGGCGTCCAGTGGCGCAGTGGCACACGCTGCAGACGGAGGAGGAGATTGACGCCGCTCTGAAGGCCCCCATCCGCTAAAGCGCTCTGTGCAGATGGACTCATATTATTACTGATTATTCAAAAAATCTGGGGTACCGCATTCTCAAAACACTAACTGTGTAATACATTCTGTCTAACTCTGGCTCACAAAGTTTGGTTCTATATCACTAGTGTTCACATGCACGCACTCTTTTTGGTCACGTCTTTAGATCAACTTTTTCCAAGAGAAAAGTGAAACAGAGAGGACCACCTCAGCCAATCAGCTCTCAGGCCAAAGTGTTAAATGTTGACTCACAGGGCTCTTTCTTACGAGTATGCAAAGATAACCAATTTTTTAAAAGAGAAAGATGATTTATTGTGGTCTGATTTATTCACAGAAAATTATATTTAAAAAAAAAAGTAGCCCATCTTTTGATTCTGTATGACCATCTGCCGTTTTTTAATAAACCACTTACACCTGATTGTTGTGATCGTTTTGAAATTCTACCATGTGAAAGCACTCACATGAGAATAAGAAGATCTACATTTTGTCCAAAGAAATCCCACAATGTGCATTTCATCCCCTGTTTGAGCCCTATACAACTGCTCCCATGACAAACGTATGTGTTATTCTAGGTGTAGCTCTTTGTTGAAGGAATTCTTTTCCATTTGTCACAACATAAAAGGATAAAATGTGAACACTTGTTTTGAATTGTTTTGTGCCCTTTGTTTTTGTTGTCATGTATATTCTGTTTACATGTTATATACTGTCTTATGAGCACTGTGTTTAGAGAATAAATAAATGGAAAAATAAAGTCTTTCTAAATAACAGCTGTTGTGTGGTAAGGTCAAATAGTCCGGTTGACAGAGAATGATTGAATGAGTGGATTAACCTCTTGAGCCCTGTCCGACGCTCCGAGCCAAACATATGCACCTGGAATCACCAAGATATCACTGAAAATGTAGATACTTTCTGCAACTACATCCGTAATCTCTCCAAACATGGCTCTTGCAGACAGTGTGTACACATTTACCATCACAGCACAACTGCAATAAGTGTACCTTTTCATAGTTGTTTCAGATTTTTTAATTATAGGGATTGTGTGAGCTACAATTACACCCTTTACACATAATTTAGTTGCATCAGCACTCAATTACAATGTACGGCCACAAGAGGACGCCATTCGGTGGAATGCCGTTAAACAGGGTAAGGAACGCGGTTAAAATATTATTTGAAAATAATAATAGTGCATTGGTTATAAACGATGTACACACACACACACACGCGCGCACGTACACACGCAGCAATGGGGGTGAAGTGTCTTGCCTCAGGACATAACAGTATGGCAGTCTACAGCTGCAGCCTCCCCACTGTGGCACCTGGACTTCCCAGAGGTCTCCCATCACAGTAATAACAAGGTCCAACCCTGCTTAGCTTCTGCATGCATGTGCTCTCTTATCTTAATCATAAAGAGACCAATGGAAACATGGTTCAGAGACGTCACATGAAGGTATGGCCTAAATCGCTTTAAGATAAATATAGACTTAACAAAATAGACAAGCAGTCTGTTGAGTACATGTTTATTGCATTGAAATGTCACAAATATCTATAAACTGTTATTTCTAATCGCCTTTGAAAGATTGAAACTGAGTCATTCTCTTCTGTCCGGTGTGGTCACTTCCAGCGACCTCCCACCTTCCCTTTGCCGTGGACCTTTTTACTGTGAACACAGGTCACAGCGGTTTGTATCATGTTTGAAGAAAATCTAAATGGTGAATATTTTACTTACAATTTCTGGGCATGTTGGATTCGGTTCAGCAGCACAACAATCTACACAAAAAGGGTATACATACTATGATCATAAACATACCCAGTAACAGTGTGTAATATACTTTGACAGACCTCATATTTTTGATGCTTCATGTGTTCCATGTAGTCAAACTTCTCAGACTCCAACTGATAGATCCAGTCCCACATCTCCTGGGCTTTTTGCCTGAGAAGGATTCAGTAAACATCAAAATGAATGGGCCAAAAGTTTAATTGGTTTAGCTGTAATAAGGAGGTTCTTTCTAGACGTAGGTGGAATTCTGGTTATCGACATTTGTACTCAGACAAGACGACCATTGCTGGTTTAAAATACATCATAGAGTAAATTTGATAGCAGGGAGGGATACCCAAATAGAAACAAAATATTTCTTACAAAGGTATTGATTCCTGTTGGATGTGTTTTCATGTGGTACTTTCTCCTGCTTTACCTGAGTGCGTCCTCTCTCATGTTGTCGATGTTCAATGGCTCCCGTCTCTCGGACAAAGTTTTCTTCTTGATTTCCTTTCCGGTCAGGCGTTTTCCCTTCCTCATCTCGGCCTGAGCCAGTTAGATAAACAGTTTGTACCAAAACAAACAGCAGTTTCAGAGATTAATAACAGTGACATCCGACCTTTGCCAGAAAACCTCCAAAGTTTGACATTCCGGATAGAGCTTTCTTTTTCTTGGCATCATCGTCTGCTTTCCTCTTGGCCTCCTCTTCCTCTTTTCTGTGGCGCTCCTCCTAAATATTATAATACAAGTCATTTCAAGCACACTTTGAAGAATTACTGCACAAGTTAAAATGTTAAGCAAAACTATCCCTGACGTTTATTGCATCATTATAAAGTCAAATAAGACAAAAGCAGAGTCATATCTTGGATGTATTGAGCGTCCACTCACAGCAATCCTGTTTTGTCGATCTTTCTCTTTCTCCGCTCGCACCCTCTGAATCTCAGCTCTTTCTGACCGACGGTTCTCCTGGACACGGGGTGTTAAAAAGAAATATTTCAATATAAACATGCCTGAATTTAAGCACAAATGTTATGTCATATAATTTCAACTAAAAGATTTAAAATGTGGCTCTAAACTACTAATAATTATTTTGTTTCAAGCTCATTTTGAGGATTGAACATTTTTGGAATTTTTTGTTGAATTATTATTTTGTGTTGTCTGCTCCTCATTACTTTCCTTACTTTTTTTGCTTTATCTAACATCTGCTGAACTCTGTGCTTAAGTCAAAACATTCTGGACAATGTGAAACCCATCTTCTTGATCTGAGACAAGCAAGCAAGCGCAGAACGGCATCATGGGATATCAGTGAAGCCACAAGACAAAAGCAATGAGGGAAGAAAACCAAAAGCTGCTTTAAAACTGCCACGTCCATCATGCAGACAGTAGAAACAGGAAGATGTAGTTCAAAGCATTTCTATATACTTTTAATGTATTACGTATTATACAGTATACAACATATTGCACTTGGTGGGTTGTACTCGATTATAATGCTCAAAGGTTTATCTGGATGAGATAAATATTGTATACCCATATTGTTTTTAAAGTTGTCTCGTCAAACTATTGGTTGTGTTTCTAAATGAAACTTCAACAATATATTTTTTGTCAAACGTTATTTTAATAATGCGACAGTGGCTCAGTTGGTAGAGCATTGGCCTTTGAGCCTGAAGGTCGTGGGTTCAAGCCCACCGTAAGTCCTACTTCATGACTCCCACTGATGTCTACTGTCGCTGTGTCCTTGGGCAAGACACTTACAGTAACCCCACTTTGCCCGAAGCCCCCACTGAAATATCTCAGCTCCTGTGGACTCACCACCTGCAGGAGGATCAGTGAGGGGCTGGTGCTCTGTGGATTGGTGAAGCTCTGACTGCCACCCCCCCGACCCAGAAATGGATTAAGGGGAAGAAAATGGATGGATAGATGGATGTTATTTTAATTTTATCATTAAAATTATTTCAATAATTCACCTTGTCAAGTCAATGCTTGCGTTGATATTGCTGATGCTTGAATGAAATAAAATAAAATAAATACAAGATATTCCTACTGTTCTGTAAACGGTGATGCAGCACTGAAATTTCCCCACAGTGGGACGTTTAAAGGATCTCTTCATCGTAATCACTCACAAACAGTCAACAACCCTCATATTTCCTCCTGAAGCCCATGGACACATCCGTTCCAGGTTTGTAGTGATGATTTATTTACAATTCTGTCTTTGAGGCAGATGAGCTCCTCTTCGTCCTTCTTCCTCTGTTCAAAGTGCACCTCTATCAGCGTCTGCAGCTCCAGCAGGTCCTTCTCCATGCGCTTCCTGTGGATGTCCTGTGAAGAAACACATTCCTCAAACAGTTCCTCAAATATTGTAGTTAAACAGCGGAACAGTTCATGATGAGGGATTTTATATTTTTATCTTTCTTTTTAATGTTCTGTGATTATTTATGATTTTAACGTTTTCTTGTTTTGTTCAGCACTTTGAATTGCCTTGTGAATGAATTGTGCTATATAAATAAACTTGCCTTGCCTTTCCTTGCCATGATTAGAAAACCGGTCTTGCTTGTTCACTATGTAACTTTTACCACCAAGTCAGGAAAAACCTCATCCATGTCCTCTGGTTGGACTTACATCAAAATCCACCCTCTCTCCTTCTGGAATCTTTGGAGGAGCCAGATTAGGAACCAAAGGTCTATAAGAACAACATGTTTACAAGACTTGAAAAAATGCGTCCGTTTGATGAGATGCAGAAATAGATAAGCTCACACACTTGGGTCTGGGGCGTTCCTCTTCTGTCGCGGGAAACAGAATAACATTAGTTTCCTGTAATCATCAGCCTGCTTCATATACTTAGAATTCACCAGAGAGTTTATGCTTTGATTGACAAAGCAGATAGATAGCTAGATGGATACTTTATCAAATGAAATCCAGCAGCAGAAACACATCCATCCATAAAATAAAAATCTATACATTTATAATTCTAAACAATACTAACAAAAGTCATAAAGTGCATGTTTAATTCAGACAAAGCAGAAGGAACAAAACATCTCTAACTTTGTAAAATATATTGACTCTGACTCTCACCTTCCTCCTGGGCATCTTGATCTGAGACAAGCAAGCAAGCGCAGAACGGCATCATGGGATATCAGTGAAGCCACAAGACAAAAGCAATGAGGGAAGAAAACCAAAAGCTGCTTTAAAACTGCCACGTCCATCATGCAGACAGTAGAAACAGGAAGATGTAGTTCAAAGCATTTCTATATACTTTTAATGTATTACGTATTATACAGTAGACAACATATTGCACTTGGTGGGTTGTACTCGATTATAATGCTCAAAGGTTTATCTGGATGAGATAAATATTGTATACCCATATTGTTTTTAAAGTTGTCTCGTCAAACTATTGGTTGTGTTTCTAAATGAAACTTCAACAATATATTTTTTGTCAAACGTTATTTTAATAATGCGACAGTAGCTCAGTTGGTAGAGCATTGGCCTTTGAGCCTGAAGGTCGTGGGTTCAAGCCCACCGTAAGTCCTACTTCATGACTCCCACTGATGTCTACTGTCGCTGTGTCCTTGGGCAAGACACTTAACCCCACTTTGCCCGAAGCCCCCACTGAAATATCTCAGCTCCTGTGGACTCACCACCTGCAGGAGGATCAGTGAGGGGCTGGTGCTCTGTGGATTGGTGAAGCTCTGACTGCCACCCCCCCGACCCAGAAATGGATTAAGGGGAAGAAAATGGATGGATAGATGGATGTTATTTTAATTTTATCATTAAAATTATTTCAATAATTCACCTTGTCAAGTCAATGCTTGCGTTGATATTGCTTTTATAATTCGTTACTACTATAGTTTGACTGACTTAAACATACTGCTGCTAATGTACAGATACTAACATATAACTACACTTAGCTTGCACTAGAATATACAGTACTTTATACTTGCCTCTTTTTAAATTATTATTATGTTCAAGATAGAAATGTTATACTTGTTATTGAGGCTAGAGTTAGAGATTTTGATTTATTTTAATTAGTATAGCTATTGTTCACTTATCTTGTGCTGTGTGCTCCTCTTTCCTATTGCTTTATAAATTGTGATGCAACACTGAAATCTCCCCACTGTGGGACGAATAAAGGATCTCTTAATCTTAATGAAATAGCTGACAGCCCTAGTTTAATCTTGATTAAATTTTAGAAGAAAGTGTGAAAGGGCAGTGTTGATTGGACTTATACATTATTGTTCATTATCAAAAACATAGACTTCTTCCAACCCTCACCTTCCTCAACTGCATCTTCATCTTCATCACAAGCGTCACAATCAGCCCAAGGATGAGAGGAGCCAACAGGCAGAAGCAGCAGCAAGAGAAAAACATAAAGACACATACAACTACATTTTCCATCATGTTAAAGCATCTCTGGGAAGATGTAAGACTGAAAATGGAAGCAGACACCTATCTCTGTAGAATGCACACAGTAAGCATTACAGAAAGCAGGATTTGAGAGATGACAAGTGCATGACTTACCTTCCTCTTGGGCGTCTTGTTCTGACAAGTGTGGTAACGAGGCATCAGTCAGAGACACAAGCAGCGGCATTAGCAAAAGAAAAAACACAAACAAACTATGTTTTCTGCTGCAACACAAGATGAGTAACAAGATGCAGTTAGAAGCCCAGATTTTATGCACAATATTTGGGTCAAACTTGTATCATACAAACCGCGCACACTCATCTATATTGGTCATTGCACCTAAACAGTTAAATCTAGATCATTCACACACACTCATTCAGTAATAAACAATGTAAGCAAAGTTTCTTTCATGGACACATCGACAGTTTGGTGCTGATTACAGAAGTCTCCCATCACAGTACTAACCAAGTCCTGCCCTGCCTAGCTTCTGAGCATGCAAGCTAACAGCCTCATTAAATCATATTGTGGACAATTAAAACGGTCATTCTGCTACATCACAAGATGAAAACTTCTGACTCATTCAAATGTGACCTATATGTGGAAAAAAAATATTTTATTTTCCTCTCAAAAACCTCTTTACAGGATGGTCGTCAGCTCTTGGCCCTTACTACGTTTCAGATGCTGTCAATGCTGAGGGGAGTTTTTTTTATTTTTATAGACCAGTCTAGTTTAGCCTCTGTGGACTTCAGAGGGCAGTGCCGGCTAACGAATGCGCAAATGCGTTTTTTCACATTTTCCTGTCCCACGGCCATTTTGAAAAAGCCCAACAGCGGTGGCACAGTTTTTTGAACGGCGGAGATAGGTGTTTGTTAATATTTACAGCATATGGGTGCCCACAAACAACAATTCTGTAATCTCTTACTATTATAATAATCTAAAGATAATATAAACAATGTCCTGTTTCCAACCAATGTGTTTTAGAGCTTATTGAAGTTAGTATAGGACTCACCTTCTATCTGCTGTTGCTCCTCTGAATCCCAGACCAGAGACAAAATGAGAGATGGCGTGATGATGAGAGCAGCATGGTTAGTCCCCAGTCAATTTCAAAGCAAAATAACAAAAGAAATACTTTCCCATCATGCATTAGACAAATATTTACTGTGGTTTAAAAGCTAGAGTCCATGAACATACAGACGATAGCTGCAATTTTTATGTTGGCAATGGTATCAACTGCTTTTTGGAGGTCATTTTGTTGCCTTATGTTCTTGTCACTGTTATGGATAATAATAAAATAAGATAAACTTATTGATCTCACAATGGGGAAATGTACAGTAGCTCTCGAGTCTGAAAGCTTTAACTGTAGATCTATAGCATAATACTTCATACCACCATATTTCATGGTTTATAATGTTGAGTCCATTCCTTACCATCTTCCTGGTTGCAGGGCTCTGAAGTACCAGCTACACCCATAGGCAAAAGCAAGATGGAGGTTGACATGATGGGACCAGCATTAGTTAAAAAGAGGCATATAGGAAAAGTTTAGCATTGGTTTCTCACGCACACACAGAAGCCACAGAATCAGCAGCACAGACATCGGACAGCCTTAAGATGTCTGGCGAATTTTTTAAAGATTTTGTATAGAGCCTCACCGTCCTCTTGGGCGCCAGGCTCTGAAGCAGCAGCCAAACAGTGAATCATGGAGAAGACAATCATGGCCGTCATGATTATCCAGACAGAGCAGAGAATGACAGAAGAGCACAATGACGAAGCTGAGATTAAAACTACAGCCACAAAATGATGTTGTTGTATAGCATTTACCAGATTAAAGCTGAGCTACCTCACTTCTGACTTCAAATACAATACATTTTGTGTGCCAGAACAGAACAGAAATAGTCTTGTAAAAGTAAAATGTTGTGAACAAATCAGAAAATAACGTGTGCTCTTCATCTTATTTGAAATACATCTTTTGCAGACTTGAAGGAATAGCTCACCTTCCCCTGGGATGTCTTGCTCTGAGGCCCAAAGTCAATACAGGTGATGTGTGGTGTAACAAGATGAGATACCATTCAAGCCAAACAAAACAAGGAGGGTAAAACAGAACAGTTAGTAAAACAGGGCCCATCAGACAGCGCTCATGAAGTCACGTTCTGTCAAATGAAAACAGCAGGAAGCATCATACCAAATGATACAATACACTTTAGTTTGTCCAAAACAGCCAATAGCAACAGCCAAAGTACAATACATTACACTATTGAATACTAACAAGTGTAAGATGACAACATAAATTATGAATATAGTAAGATTATGAAAAAGTCCTTTACCTTCAACCTCCTGCTGCTCCTCGGGCTCCTCTTCTGGCTCCTCCTCTGGCTCCTCCTCCCCTTCATTTTTCAACAAAAATCAACACAATGTTTTCTCCAAGTACCAAAGCATATTTTTCTACCAAAGTTGACTCTACCTTCTGTCTGCTCCTCACTGAAAGGTGAACAAGAAAGAGAGATATGTAATGGGTCATGGTAAAAAAGAAGAAAATGTCAGATACTCACTCATATTCCTCTTCTATGTCTGACATGGCTGGAAACACAAGCTTTACATTAGTCATTGATGATTGGAGTGTGTGTCACATACAGAAGGGATTATAGATGGTCAGTTCTTATTAAAATAATAATAATAATAATAATAATGATAATTAGTTTCAGATTTTTTTGAAAAGCAAATAACACTTTACTTCTACTTTTATTTTAAAACACATTCACTCCATACTTGGTGGTGGTAAACAACTACTGTCAGATAAGCAACATGAGGCATTCAATAATAATAGTGGGACCACAAGAAGTGAAATAACTTGAGACTTGATTGTCTCCTATACTGTAAAGATCATTCTGCCTGTGATGTCTTTAACCTCTTCCTTCTAATCTAACCGATAAAAGTTTTTAGTCAGCCACCGATTGTGCAAGTTCTCCCACTTAAAAATATGAGGAAGGCCCATAATTTTCATCGTAGGCATATCTCAACTATGAGAGACAGAATGAGAAAAAAAATCCAGAAAATCGCATTTTCAAAGAATTTATTTGCAAATTATAGTAGAAAATAAGTATTTGGTCACCTACAAACAAGCAATATTTCTGGCTCTCACAGACCTGTAACTCCTTCCACTTGTTACCTGTATTAATGGCATCCGTTTAAACTCGTTATCAGTCTGAAAGACACCTGTCCACAGACCTGCACCAGGCTGATAAGACTGCATCTGCAATAAGTAAGCAGCCTGGTGTGAAGAAATCAACTGTGGGAGCAATTATTAGAAAATGGAAGACATATAAGACCACTGATAATTTCCTTCGATCTGGGGCTCCACGCAAGCCTGTGGAGTCAAAATGATCATGAGAAAGATGAGCAAAAATCCCAGAACCTCACGAGGGGACCTAGTGAATGACCTGCAGAGAGCTGGGACCAAAGTATCAAAGGCTACCATCAGTAACACGCTACGCCGTCAGGGACTCAAATCCAGCAGTGTCCTCCTGCTTAAGCCAGTGCATGTTCAGGCCCTTCTGAAGTTTGCTAGAGAGCATTTGGATGATCCAGAAGAGGATTGGGAGAATATCAAATGGTCAGATGAAACCAAATTAGAACTTTTGGGTAAAAAACAACTCATATATGGAGGAGAAAGAATACCATACAAACACCATACTTATTGTGAATCATGGGGGTGGAAACATTATGCCTTGGGGCTGTTTTTCCGCAATAGGAACCAGGACGACTGATCTGTGTAAAGGAAAGAATGAATAGGGCTATATCGTGTGAGATGTTTAATGAAAACCTCCTTCCATCAGCAAGGGCATTGAAGATGAAACGTGGCTGGGTCTTTCAGTAAGACAATGATCCCAAACACACCGCCCGGGCAACGAAGGAGTGGCTTTGTAAGAAGCATTTCAAGGTCATGGAGTGGCTTAGCCAGTCTCCAGATCTCAACCCCATAGAACATGTTTGGAGGGAGTTGAAAGTCTGTGTTGCCCAGCCACAGCCCCAAGACATCACTGCTCTAGAGGTGATGTTGCAAAAGCATGGAGGAATGGGCCAAAATACCAGCAACAGTGTGTGAAAACCTTGTGAAGACTTACAGAAAAAACATTTGAGCTCTGTCATTGCCAACAAACGGTATATAACTCCAGACACTCTCTGCATGACATAATGGCTGCTCAGAGGAGTAATCGTAGCAACAGATCCTTTGTTCCTTCGGGTGTCAGACTGTAAAACAAACCTGGATGAGTCTTCTGTTGCTGGACACCTGAATTTCTCCTACGGAGATCAATTATCTATCTAACAAAGTACTGAGATCAACTTTTGTTATTGACCAAATGACTATTTTCCATCATATTTTGCTATAAGTTATTTAGAAATTAGACAATGTGATTTTCTGGATTTTTTTTCTCATTCTGTTTCTCATAGTTGAGGTTTACCATCATCTTTCAAGTGGGAGAACTTGCACAATTGGTGGCAGAGCAAATACTTTTTCGCCCCACAAATCTGCCCATTGTTAAACTTTGAACAGACCCATATTTTTTGAGGATTGAGATCATGTACTGGTGCCATATATATGTAGATCTTATGATTCTTTCCCTGGCAAAGATCATCATGTGGATGTCAGAAACATTTGGTCAATACACCGAAGTTCAATTCCTCTAGTGAAAGTCCTGAAGAATTGTCAGGAGCATCAACACAATAGGTTGTCCTATGGTGGCGTTACAGGATTGGTCAAATGCAGAGGAAAACACTCCCATCTCGGATTATGAAGTGTATCTTCAAACATACTCTTTTTTTGTTCTTAAATCCAGGTAATCATGTTGAGGGGAAAATAATATATATATCGTAAAAAATGTATTTTAGAACAATATACAAACTACTACTGTAAATCAAAGGAAACAGTGCACAAAATTAGCCATTAATGTGTTTGTATTAAAACAATTAAGTGTACAAGAGTACAAGTAAGTACTCTTTATTTACATGGCACTTTTCACAGACCAGAGTCAATAAAATGCTTTACAATTGTTGCGGTAAAATGTCCACTCACTCCACACTTTGGAGCGGGGTTGTCACACAGGAGGCACATGCCAGACCTGTTGTATATATTTCTAGTGATAGGGGAAACCGGAGTGCCAGGAGGAAATCTACACAGACATGTGGAGAACAAGCAAACTCCACACAGAAAGGTCTTGAGGTGTAATCGACCTTCAGCACAAGCACTAACCACTGCGCCACCGTGCCTCCACACCATCAGACAATACCGTTGACATGAACCTACTTCTATGATTAGCACAAAACACAAGATAAAATACATGAGCTGCCATCCGAGCAGGATGCGTAATCATTCCATCACAGGTGGACATACTCTCCATGCCCTGCCATTATTCTCTGCGGACAGTAAAAGACACCCACATACATTCTTTTGGCTATTAATGGGGACGGCAAGCTGGCATTGTCCTGACGTAAAACCAGGCTAAGACTCACTAGTATACAATGGGGGAGGCAGTGCTGACACAGATCTGGCAACGCACCATCATCTGGTTTGATGTGGAGGCAACAGGTGAAAATGTGACGCAAGTTCTCATTAGTAAGACTTCTCACACTGACAATCTCGTTCTAGTCTTAAATGTGTCCTTAAAGGCACGAGCATACATGCATGGATACATACATCCCCAGTGTGAGAAAACAATATTCCGTGACAGCCTCAGAAGTCAATGACTGCTTGACCTGATCATTCTGAAACCATTTCCTTAAGCTGCTGAAACTGAGTCATCAGAGTCCAGCTGCGATTTCATGAAGGAGGCTGTAACATCCTCAAGAACCACCATCAGAATGTTGAGCCAAGTACATATCTGAACCAGGATTCAAAACTGAGCTTTTCAAGGTCTGAATTAGGGATACACAATGTCCTAAATAGTGTTACCTATATTAGTAACACTATTTAGAGACAATGCATCATTGCTCCTGTCGTTGCAGCATTTAGCCGTTGGTTTGGCCTGCTGGTTTGGCTTGCTTTGGTCTGGTTTGGCCTGCTGGTTTGGCCCGCTGGTTTGGCTTGCTTTGGTCTGGTTTGGCCCGCTGGTTTGGCTTGCTGGTTGATAATTGGTGGGGTGGGAGTGGGCGTCTCCTTCACAGGAATGAACTTTGAGCTTTTAAGCATCAAAAGTGGTGTTTTAGGTGTTTCCCTCAAACAAAGCACACAAAATACACATTTGTTAATACATTTCAAACTTAGTTCAGAAAACCCCAAAAGAAAAACAGCTCAGCAGTTAAGGAAAACCGTTGCTGAAGACAGTCCTATTACTGTATATTTTCTTGTGTTAGTAATGAACACATCACAATTAACTATTGAATTGACGTATAACTAGTTACATTCAGAATCAAACAGATTTGCATTTCTTTGATGAAACCATTAAACATTAAACCTGCTACAGTAACTTCCCTTACTGTTACATTTAAACCCTTCAAATGAAACTAAACATGATTATTATTAAAATCTGAAAAAATAAAACTGCTTATTTTCAGAACTCTTCCCACTTATCTGATTTTTCTGTGTCAGCATCAGTCAGAGAGGACATTCCTGTCGTTCCCATCCACAACACCTCCACTGCCAATGCCTCTCCCCCTCCTCCTGCTCCTCTGAGTTACTCTGAGTATCTGTCTCTCTGGTCAGACTGAGGTGAAGCATGAGCCTCAGGGATGCTGTGCCGGGAACGACCAAACACTGTCCCCCAGACGTCCCTCTCGCTCTCTCAGCTGAGACAGACACAAACTCAGAGACAGAACAAAACATTAGTTGACAATTCTGTGGATTTTACCCTAATATTGTTTCATATTATTTGTGAAATAATATTTTAGTCCTGATGTTTATTCGTATTTTATAGTCTGTTAGTTTCGTCAGTTAAGTCCTAGACATAGAAGACACTTATGAAGAAACACTTGCATACAAAAAACATGAAGTAACAAACAAACAAATACTACTCACATTAGAGGAAATGTTTGTCTGTTAAATCTTACACATATAGACAGTTACTCACAAAACAAACAAAATCTTCAAATCAAACCCAAAGATAAACATAAAAGTCTACTTGTGTGCACAAAATACCAGCTTTTTTGATCATAAGCAAACAAAAATAAAAAATCTGAGCTAACTTTGAGTCTAATCATATGGAAGCCCGTTTCCGCCATGTAAAAAAAAAAAAAGCCTACAGAAAGTCAAAATTACAACTTTAAAAGTCAAAATTACGACTTTAAAAGTCAAGATTACGACTTTAAAAGTCAAAATTACGTGTTATTAAATTATGTGTTGTTGTCTGGAACGGTCTCTGGTCATCCCTGTTATAGATCCATGACCATGGGTCATCCTCTACCTGCAGATTATGTGAAGATATTTCCTACAGACAGTGACCACATCCATGAAGCAGCAATAATGTTGTGGTAGTAATCGCGTTAAAATGCAAACGGTCTCTCCGTTTATGATTAGAATCCGCTTCAGAAGCCTCTATTTAGTTTATCCTAAACGGACTGTGGAAGATTAATAATAAAACACAT